GAAAAGTGTTTTGTTTGTTGTTTAGCCTTTGCATAAGAAATTCTGTTGTTCAATTGTTTTTTTTTCCCTCTCTCTCTCTCTCTCTTCCTCTTTTTGGGAATGTTTTCGTTTCATGGAGTTGCGAAAAAGGTGAAGACGAACCAACTGCTAAAATTGTGTTTACCTTGGCTTTTGTTTGCTTTACATTTTTGTAAGTAGCCGAGCAGACGGGCATTAAAATAACACAATAAACTAAAAAGAAATTGAGTCTGGATGAATCTAGGGAGGGGTTTGCCTTAGCAAGTACTCGAAGCGAACTAAATGCTGTGCAGTCAGGCCTAAAGTCTAAGCACTTTGAAGATATACTTGACCCCTGCTCCGTGACCTTAGTCATGCGCTTGATTGATTGCACAAACGAAACGAAATACCTGAACAGGTGAACAGGTGAGCAGGTGAGTGGGTGAGTGGGTGCACCTGCACCAGAAGGTATGCTACAAATTTAGTTGCCAACCAAAATTTCCAATCAGAGATCAACTCGACATCAACTCAAAGTCAAGTTTTCTCTGCTCTGCTTTTTTTTTTTTTTTTTTTTTTTTTTAGTTAGTTTGTAATTGTAACAAATGAACCAAGTGCTTGGGCAGTTATTTTTACAATATGGGTACTCCCTCGCTTCTGTGGCTTGGCATTTTCAAGTTGTCTGACGGCTGATTCAATACGCTTCACTGGGCTGTCGAGTGCCAGCCGTATTACTGTGTGGAATATTTACAATTTAATTGCAATTTACTTACGTTTCTTCCATGAATCTCATTTGGCATTTGCATAAATCCAAAACATTTTGATTGCATTTGCCAAATATCATTTTGCATATGATTTATAATTTTGGCAAATTTTAATGCGGCATAAATTACATTATTTATTATTGCAATTTATTTGTTTTCTATACATATTGATATATGTATATATGTATTTGGTATATTTGTTTATTCCCTATATATTATGCATTTATTTTTGTATTTATTTATTTTTTCTTGTTTGTTGTCTCGTCAATGTGTATTAATTATTAATTATAAATAATTGTAATCATAATATTTTTTCCTTTACTGCTTTTCATTTTTATTTTAGCCAAATTTGCAATTTTTGTTTGGCTTTTATTAATTTTTTTCTTCTTATTTAATTTTTTTTTAAGTTTAGTTTGTTAGATTGTTGGTTTATTATTATTATTTTTTTTATCTAAATCAATATTCTTTGTTGAGCTAAGTGGGTAAATTTATATGAAAGCGATTATTAATAAAAAATATGTATTATTCAACCTTTTAATTAGCTTAAATGTAAATTTTTTGTTTGTTTATTTTATATTGTATATTAAAATGTTATTTATGCAATTTATGCAATATATTGATTTGGCAAGTCAATTTTTTTGTAGATATATTTTGTATCAAGTGATAAATAAATTATTATCTAAATGACTATCTACATTTATATGCTTTATATTTTTATATTGATGAATTTATTTTATATTTACATATATTATTTATATATACGTTATATGTTTATATATAACTTTTTGTATTTACATATTATTTATATATTTTGTATTTATTCTGTTTTCATTTTGTTTACTGGTATACTTATATTTTTAAAATATTTTGTAATTTTTATTTTTAAGAATATAACTTTCCTCACTTTTCAATCTAATTATTTTCTCAATTTCAGCCCAACCTCAATTTGCTTCAACTACAAGTGAATTTTGCTTCAGTTTTGGTCTGGGCTTGCTGTGAGACCCATCCATTTGGCTTCCCTTGCACGTAGCACACATTACACGCACCTCACAGCGCCTACACCTGTCACGCCTCCTCCCCATAGCCTTCGCCATGTGCAGCCGCGCATATAATTTGCAATTTACATTTTCAACTTTATTTTATAGGCAAATTTTTAATTTGGTAAAAAAAAAACCGTTGGAATAAAACAATTTTTAAACACATTTCCAAAAAAAAATGAAAATGAAAACCTTTCAAATGATATGAAAGAATTAAACAATTGAAATGCAATGTAGAGTGAGACAGAAAACGAGGGTCAGCCCTTTAGGGCTGTCCAACTGTCCGGTTGGTCAACTGTCTGTCTGTCTGGTCAACGAGCCGGGTTCAGGTTACGAGCGGTTGGGACACGTGCATTTGGTCACTCGCTCTGCTTCAGCAGCGCTCATTAAAGGAATTTCCGCTGTGGTCATCGAACCATGAATTAAAATGTGCACACAAAATGTTACCCAACCTCGATTCCTCCCTCTCTCTCTCTCTCCCTCTATCTCTCTCACTCTCCCACCAGTACTGGAGGATGTGCCACAGCAATTGAAAAAATTGTTTGGCTCACAGGCTGAGGCACGTCAATTGAACGAGTGGCGAGTGGAAAACAGGTGGCATTTGATATAACTTTTGTTGCCTTTAAGGGTGGCTAGAGCGGCAGTAAAATATATTTGAATATGTTACGTAGAAAGCGAAGAGTATAACTATTAAATATGCAGATAGAACTCATGGAGCAGCTGGCTGAATAGTAGAGTTCGAGTGTCGATTATAAGTATTTTATTCTATATGTAAAACTCCGTCTCTTCTTTTGTAAAATTTATATAAATTCATTTTTAGTCATAAAGACTTGTCCAAAGCGTTTTGTTTTCTAGAACTAATAGATATTACCTTGGGCGAGTTTTGTCACATTTTGGGTTACTAAATAAGTAATTAAAAGCCCTACACCATTTGTCAAAAGTATTTATAATTCTTCAGGCTAAATCACTCATTAGATTCGATTTGTTGTTTCTCCAGTCGCATGTAGACTGTGTACCTTGATTTATGGCGGAATACTGCTAATAAACAGCAACAGAGACAACATATGCTCATCGTTTATGACAACACATGCAGCACAGCTCAACTTTTCAGTTCAGTTGTGTATAACAAGCTATATCTTCTTCTCGATATATGCTGCTGTTTGATTTTACTTTTGCAATATATATGTATATATATAGGAAACTTTATATATATATTTATATATATATATTGCCAGGCATGACACATTTTTTGCATGAATTATAAGCAAAGCAGAAAAAAAAAACTAAATATCGTTGCGCGCTATTTTTAAAATTGGTCTCGGCTATGATATAATTTTTGCCGATTTGCTTAGCCGGTACATATATATAAAACATATATACACATATGTATCTACTGTACATTATATATATGTATATATCTATAAACATTTTATTTTCATTTTCGCTTTTCGCGCACAAAAAATATTTTCAACATTTGCTCATTTTTATTTTTTTATTTTTATTTTTTTTTTCTTGTTTGATTTACTTTTGGCTGTGACATAAATTTCTATGTTGAAATTTTTTCTAAAAACTTTTCAATATATTGTGAGTTATTACAAAAACACATAAGGTCAGCTTTTATACATAGTCGAGTCCTTGAATAAGTGCTAAATATATATTTTATATATAAATTAAATAAAAAAAATATATATTTAATTTATTTTAATTTATATTTAAGTATAACTAATTTATATTTTAAAATATTATTTTTTTTTTTATTTAAGTTTATTTTTGCTTTTCATATTAAATAAATATTTAATTATTCAAGCATATAAAATTTTAAAATTTATTTTATACATTCAAATTACACATTATTTGTTTTCTTTACTGTATATTTATTTATTTCATTTTTATATAATTTCAACATTATTTGTTTCAATTTAATTTATAAATCATATTTTTATTTCCGGAATATTATTTATTTTGTAATTTTGTTGCTTTATTTATATTCTTTGACCATTTCTTTAGCTTACTTTCACATAGCTTTCGCAGGGATCTCTGTGCATAACTCCGATTGAAATTTTCTTTCTTTAGATTTATTTATTTTATTTTTTGTAAATATATATTTTCACACGCGCGCTGATTACTGGCAATTGTTGTTGTTCTGCTGTTTGGTGTTGGCCAGGCCAAAATGACAACAACGTCAGCTGCAATTCAATTCAATTCGATTCGATTCGAGTTGGTTTCTCGGTTCGTAAGACGAGGAACGCGCGCGTATGCTAAGGGCAATCCGTCCACGTACTCGACGCACGACGTTCAAAATGAAACTGAAATCCACTTGATGGCTGCACGGGCAGCTAAAGCCAAAGCCAAAGAGCCGAAGCAGCGACGCGTCGCAGCAACAGCAACAGCAGCAGCAACAGTGACGCCGACAGCAGCAGCAGCAACAACGAAAAGCCACCCCTAACATGGCCAACGCGCGAAATGTTGCCGGCTGCGTTGGCGTCTTACAGCTGACATTGACGTTAGCGTTAACGTTAACGTTATGCCAGCAGCGCTGCCCGCGTCTCGCGTGTTGGTCAAGTGTTCGAGCGCCGCGTCGCGGCCATTGAGAGCAGAGACGCAACGCCGGCCACATGTTTCCCGTCTTGTGTAGACTTTTTTCTCCCGTTGTTGCTCATTCGTGTTGCTCTAGCTGCTGCTCTTGTTGTTGCTGCAAATAAATTTTGACTTTGGCATCTGCGGCCGAGCATTTCCTTTTGGCCGAATTTTCCATTTGTTTTTCTTGTTAGCTCTGTTGTTTTATCTTTGCGCGGTTTTCATTTGCGCATAATTTGATTACTTGATCTTTCGCTTTTATTATGGAAATACGTTTTGCTTTTATAAATAAACATATATATACATATATATTAGACCTAGTTAAATTTAGTCAATCCGTTCGCTATATCGGTTGGGCACCTTTTTGCATGTTTTTCAGACTTATGACCTAGAAGACCAGGCAATCGACTGAGTTTTTTTAAGGGTATTTATTGACTGTAGTTCTATACGGCTCATTCCTATCCTCTATTACAAATTATAGTCTTTCTTTTCTATGGCACTCCAATGCGCAAGAATTAGGGACATGCAGCACTCTCCTCTTTTTCTCCGATCACCTCTGCTTTGTCTATACCCTAAATCTTGAAAACTTTGCTCATTCTGCTTCTGATATATCCTACGCATTCATTACAATCTTATTAATTTTACTCCGATAAAAGATATACTATTATTACTACAGCATGTTTTTCATCCATATCTAATTGATTATTGGTGTATAAATCAGGCCTTGCTTTGTTCATAATACGGTTTATTCGATTGAACTTAGTATTTAAAATCAGTTGCTATTTGGAGAACAGTATGAACAGTACAGTAAATATTACCAAAGCAAGCAAATTATCACAATGAATCGAACTTTTTCTTTAGCAGAAGTTTACAGCAAAGTGAGTAGATAATTAAGGATAAACGGTCTTAACTCACTCATACTCACTCAGGTGAGTTGTTTCAGCGTGATGACTGTGAAGCATGAGGATCGTTGCAAATTTGTAAGCGCGGCAGATAATTGCAAACATATCATGAATCTATTTAGATACTACAAGATCATGTATTGCGCTCTGGAAGTCAATGACAGAAGTTCGGAGCTGATTATTATTGTCCTCTACGCTGTGATGGTGTTCTTCTTGATTCTGTGGACCTTGATGCTAATGCAGAAGTTGTAAGAATCCCAACTCAAAAGCTCTGATCAATTTTATTCTTCTAATGAATGGTTGTCTTTTCTTTCTAAGCTTCTGTCAAGTTATAAAGATTCTTACCATTAAGCTGAATTTAAATGAATATTTAGCTGGCATCACTTTAATTGCCATGTGCAACTCATCGCCGGAGCTACTGACGCATCTGATGCCCGTTCGAAGTCTGTCACCGGTGTATTCGATAACCTTGAGTAGCGGGATAACCGTCCTTTCGTTGTCCGGCGGTATTATTTGCTATCTGAGATCGTTTCAGATTAACAACGCGTGCGCAATACGTGATATTCTCTTTCTAGTCTTGTGCAGCGAGTTGGTGCTATACTTTATATTAACAGAAGGACGTACTAGGATATGGGAAGCTGTCGGTAATCTAAATATAATTGTCCAGAATTTTTTATTATCGTACTTAATCATTTATCTTACAGCTCTGATAACATTGTTTTTAACATATGTGATCATTAATGTAATCGATCTGAAACTGTCACGTCTTTACATGGAGAGTAAGTCGCCGAGTAGAACTAGTCAGTGAACGCTTGATGTTAATTTCCAAAAATTTCCCACAGAAGTGAAACGAAAGATTGCCGAAATGAAAACCAGAGATTTGACAATCGGTGATCACCAGGAGCTGAGTAACCTTGAGTTAGAATTCTCTACCTTAGAGATACACAATATGATGGGGCTGCACAACTATCGGCATACCTATTACTACGATAATATGATTCGGAAAAGCTCTTTGCGCAGGTCAACGATTCGTCGGTCTACGCTTGGTCTTGGACGTGTCTCAAAGCCAATTCCACAAGAGAAAGGCATTGACTTGAACAGCACATTCAATATACTCCATAATCCGGACAATCCCAAGAACATGTTCATCTTCAGCGAATTCCGTGAGGCGCTGTGGCCCGTCGATAGAGAGCAATGGCGTCTGAAAGGCTGGTGCGGACGTGGCATACTCTTAATACTCGCCCCTTTATATCTCCTCAGCGTTATCATAATACCAAACCCGGACTATACGGCCGATAAGCATGGCTGGAGCAAGTTGCTCAACTGCATTCAAATAATAATCAGTCCGTTTATTTGTACGTTAATTATTCATGGTAAGTTTTCTTCTCTCTCCTTCTCACTGAACTCGCCTTTACTGCCTCATTTACATTTCTGTTCTGTATATCTACGTATACATATATTTCTCTACTCTTTGTTTCATTCTCGTTTTTCTTATTACAGCTCTTCATCTAAAGGACTATGATGAGTACTCCATGAAGTTTGACTTTATCTATGCCCTATACTCGCTTGCGATTACTGTACCGTTAGCAATAGCTGTGCTCATTCACTCTCGCACAGATAAGCCGCCCGCTTATCATATCGTAATACCCATAATAGGAAAGATATCTATTTTCATTAACTTACTAATATATTGCAGATCTTTGCAATACTTGGCTTCATCATAACAGTTATTATTTTCTCCATCTGTTTTACCGAGGTGCAGGTGCTGTTCTCAATCATTGGTCTGTCTTTTGACTTATCGGAGGACTATGTAGCGATCAGCATTCATGTGCTTGCCGCATCCCTAAGCGATATAATTTTGAATTCATCGCTCGCTAAACAGGGCTACGAGCGAATGGCATTTGCTGCAACTATATCACATCCCATCTTAGGTAGATGTCCAAAATAATAATCTACATTTATGTATTATACCCATCTATGTTGTTTCAGAGTTGACATTGGGCATGGGCTTGGTCTGTTTAGTGAATGCTCATGCTCAGGAAGAGGGCGCAGTCAACTGGCTGATCGGCATACACGGTTATATAATTCTCGTCTTCTATATGATTGCAGTCTTTTCGTACCTGGGCTGGGGCTTGATCTACAACTTCTTCACTCGTCGATCGATGGGAATATACTCATTTATCATATACGCTTTGTTCTGTTTCTATATTATTCTAGCTGAGTTAGAAATTATTTACGATATAACATTTATATCGCCATATATCGAGCCAAAATAAAAATAAAAATATATATTAACAAGAACAGATGTATATAATCGAAATTTTAAATTGACATTTCTAAAACTTAAACGTAATATAACAGCAAAGTATGCGATGTAAAACTCTCGCTGGATACTGTATATGCGAGATGTTCTATATGCGAGTGATACCAAGCACTTACCTTATGTTCAACAGGGTGGATCGACCTGATCTATGTATTATATTAATGAGAAGATTTGAATGAACCATTTAATGTAATATACTTTTATTCTTTTGTATCAATCCTAGCAAAATTCAGAAAAGTACATCAATTTCCGCGATGGTTTAAAGGCGGATCGACCTTTTCCGATTTAGTTAATTTGTAACTCGAAATCTATTGAGCCGATTTTCATGTATTTGGTGTTGTCGGTTAGCCACATTTGTCGGTTAGCCGTATTTTTTCTTCGATCACCACTCCTTTCGCTCATTCTGATTCTGATATTGGCTTTGCTTTTTTAATAATACAGATTAAGTCGAATGAACTTAGTATTTCAAATCAGTTGCTTCTTGAAAAAACATTGAATAGTACAGTTAAAATTATTAAAGCAAGCAAATTATCACAATGAATCGAACTTTTTCTTTAGCAGAAGTTTACAGCAAAGTGAGTAGATAATTATAGATAAACGGTCTTAACTCACTCATACTCACTCAGGTAAGTTGTTTCAGCGTGATGACTGTGAAGCATGAGGATCGTTGCAAATTTGTAAGCGCGGCAGATAATTGCAAACATGTCATGAATCTATTTAGATACTACAAGATCATGTATTGCGCTCTGGAAGTCAATGACAGAAGTTCGGAGCTGATTATTATTGTCCTCTACGCTGTGATGGTGTTCTTCTTGATTCTGTGGACCTTGATGCTAATGCAGAAGTTGTAAGAATCCCAACTCAAAAGCTCTGATCAATTTTATTCTTTTAATGAATGGTTGTCTTTTCTTTCTAAGCTTCTGTCAAGTTATAAAGATTCTTACCATTAAGCTGAATTTAAATGAATATTTAGCTGGCATCACTTTAATTGCCATGTGCAACTCATCGCCGGAGCTACTGACGAATCTGATGCCCGTTCGAAGTCTGTCACCGGTCTATTCGATAGCCTTGAGTAGCGGGATAACCGTCCTTTCGTTGTCCGGCGGTATTATTTGCTATCTGAGATCGTTTCAGATTAACAACGCGTGCGCAATACGTGATATTCTCTTTCTAGTCTTGTGCAGCGAGTTGGTGCTATACTTTATATTAACAGAAGGACGTACTAGGATATGGGAAGCTGTCGGTAATCTAAATATAATTGTCCAGAATTTTTTATTATCGTACTTAATCATTTATCTTACAGCTCTGATAACATTGTTTTTAACATATGTGATCATTAATGTAATCGATCTGAAACTGTCACGTCTTTACATGGAGAGTAAGTCGCCGAGTAGAACTAGTCAGTGAACGCTTGATGTTAATTTCCAAAAATTTCCCACAGAAGTGAAACGAAAGATTGCCGAAATGAAAACCAGAGATTTGACAATCGGTGATCACCAGGAGCTGAGTAACCTTGAGTTAGAATTCTCTGCCTTAGAGATACACAATATGATGGGGCTGCACAACTATCGGTATACGTATTACTACGATAATATGATTCGGAAAAGCTCTTTGCGCAGGTCAACGATTCGTCGGTCTACGCTTGGTCTTGGACGTGTCTCCAAGCCAATTCCACAAGAGAAAGGCATTGACTTGAACAGCACACTCAATATACTCCATAATCCGGACAATCCCAAGAACATGTTCATCTTCAGCGAATTCCGTGAGGCGCTGTGGCCCGTCGATAGAGAGCAATGGCGTCTGAAAGGCTGGTGCGGACGTGGCATACTCTTAATACTCGCCCCTTTATATCTCCTCAGCGTTATCATAATACCAAACCCGGACTATACGGCCGATAAGCATGGCTGGAGCAAGTTGCTCAACTGCATTCAAATAATAATCAGTCCGTTTATTTGTACGTTAATTATTCATGGTAAGTTTTCTTCTCTCTCCTTCTCACTGAACTCGCCTTTACTGCCTCATTTACATTTCTGTTCTGTATATCTACGTATACATATATTTCTCTACTCTTTGTTTCATTCTCGTTTTTCTTATTACAGCTCTTCATCTAAAGGACTATGATGAGTACTCCATGAAGTTTGACTTTATCTATGCCCTATACTCGCTTGCGATTACTGTACCGTTAGCAATAGCTGTGCTCATTCACTCTCGCACAGATAAGCCGCCCGCTTATCATATCGTAATACCCATAATAGGAAAGATATCTATTTTCATTAACTTACTAATATATTGCAGATCTTTGCAATACTTGGCTTCATCATAACAGTTCTTATTTTAACAATCTGTTTCACCGAGATGGAGGTGCTGATCGCAATAATTGGCCTGTCCTTTGACCTGTCGGAGGACTATGTATCGATCAGCATACGCGTGCTTGCCGCATCTCTGAGCGATATAATTGTGAATACGTCGCTCGCTAAACAGGGCTACGAGCGAATGGCATTTGCTGCAACTATATCACATCCCATCTTAGGTAGATGTCCAAAATAATAATCTACATTTATGTATTATACCCATCTATGTTGTTTCAGAGTTGACATTAGGAATGGGCTTGGTCTGTTTAGTGAATGCTCATGCTCAGGAAGAGGGCGCAGTCAACTGGCTGATCGGCATACACGGCTATATAACTCTCGTGTTCTATTTAATTTTAGCTATTTCGTACCTGGGCTGGGGCTTGATCTACAACTTCTTCACTCGTCGATCGATGGGAATATACTCATTTATCATATACGCTTTGTTCTGTCTCTATATTATTCTAGCTGAATTAGAAATCATCTACGATATAACTTTTCTATCGCCATATATCGAGCCACAATAAAAAGAATATATATTATCAATAACAGATGCATATATTTATTCGAAATTGAATTTGTATTTCCAAAGGCCTAAGCGTAAATTCCAAGGTGGCATATTTTTGCTGGATGCAGTATCTATATATGCGACTGATACCAAACATTTACCTAATATTCAACAAGGTGGAATGGCCTTTTCCGTATTAGATATATTATAACTCAACGGCTCAACCGATTTTTATGTATTTGGTAATGGACTTTAATTTTTAGTCAAGTAATTTGCTATGTCGCTTAGTGCCAAACGTCCTTCGGACTGTTACATATATCTTAAGAAAATCTTAACTCATATCTATGTTACCTGCTCCAAAACTCCATATGCCAGTGCACACATACATGCTGATTCCTGTAGTTTAGCATATTAGCACTAAGCTGTTGACAGAGGTAGAGTCAGAGATGTATGTTAATATTAGGCGGGCTCTAATAGATTGCCCCTTCTGAAGTTTTCTTCCTTGCTTTACTTCGATCACCTCTATTGGAGATCCAATAAGAAGCTAAGTGGCCTTCCGTTAAAAATCTAACCCTGACCAGTTATTAGCCTACTCCGAATGTACATCACGTCTACCTCTATTTAATTTATGTTCACAAACCAGGCTTTGCTTTTTCCTTAACACAGTTTTAGTCAAATGAAGTTAGTATTTCAACTCACTTGCTTATTGGAGAGACATTTAATAGTACAGTAAAAAAAAATTACAGAAAATATGGAAACTTTCAGAATGAACCGAACTTTTTCTTTGGCAGAAGTTTACAGCAAGGTGAGTTGAGAATTATAGAGCCGCAGACTATCATAAACAAGCTTCACTCAATCACACTTACTACTCAGGTGAGCTGTTTCAGCGTGATGACTGTGAAGCATGTGGATCGTTGCAAATATGTAACTGCCGCAGAGGACTGCAAACATGCCATGAATCTCTTAAGATACTACAGGATCATGTACTGCGCAATGAAAGTTGATGACAGAAGTTCGGAGATGCTTGTCATTGTCATCTACGCTACAGTAGTATTGATCCTCATACTGTGGGTCATTATACTGGAGAAGTAGTGAGTGGCCCAACTCAAAAGCTCTTATCGATTTTATTCCTCGAATGAAAGGTTCTTTTCTTTCTAAGCTTCAATCATATAGTCAAGATTATTACCATCAAGTTGAATTTAAATGAATATTTAGCTGGCATCACTTTGGTTGCCTTCTGCAACACAGCGCCCGAGATGTTGACGAATGTCATGCCCATTCGCAGCCTGTCACCGGTCTATTCCACAAACATGAGCAGCGGTGTATCCATTCTTTTGTTGTCTAGCGGTACCATTTGCTATCTAAGATCTTTTCAGATTAACAACGCGTGCGCAATACGCGATATTCTCTTTCTAATCCTTAGCAGCGAGTTACTGATTTACTGTATGATTTCAGATGGATTCACGACATTTACGGAATCTTGCGGTAATCTACATAATGACATATTCCTTGATCTCTTCTTATTTTACTTAATAATTAACCTTGCAGTTCTTGTATCAATGTTCTTTATATATGTAATCATTAATGTAATCGATCTAAAACTGTCACGTCTTTACATGGAGAGTAAGTCGCCGAGTAGAACTAGACGTTGAACGCTTGACGTTAATTTCCAAAAATTTCCCACAGAAGTGAAAAGAAAGATTGCCGAAATGAAAACCAGAGATTTGACAATCGAAGATCATGAGGAACTGAGTGACCTTGAGTTAACATTGTCTGCCCTAGAGATACACAATATGATGGGGCTGCACAACTATCGGGATACCTATTACTACGATAATATGGTTCGGAAGAGCTCTTTGCGCAGGTCTACCATTCGTCGGTCTACGCTTGGACTTGGACGAGTCTCCAGGGTGATCCCACAAAAAAAAACTATTGATAAGGCTAGCACACGCAACATACTCCATAATCCGGACAATCCCAAGAACATGTTCATCTTCAGCGAATTCCGTGAGGCGCTGTGGCCCGTCGATAGAGAGCAATGGCGTCTGAAAGGCTGGTGCGGACGTGGCATACTCTTATTACTCGCCCCTTTATATCTCCTCAGCGTTATCATAATACCAAACCCGGACT